TCTCTCTCTCTCTCTCTCTCTCTCTGTGTGTGTGTGTGTGTGTGAGAGAGAGAGAGAGAGAGAGAGAGAGAGAGAGAATATATGATGAAATAGGAAAGTGGGTACTGGAGATTGAGTCCAAGGCCTCATGCAAGCTATGTAGTGTACCATTATCATTATGCTACATCTCCAGCCCTAGGGTGTTCTTCTAGAGAATTCTTTTTTATTATTTCTCACTTTATGTGTATGTATGTGCCTGCATGGAAAGTGCACCATGCTTGTGCAATGCCCACAGAGGCCAGGAGAGGATGTTTGATTCTCTGAACTGGAACTACAGATGGCTGTGAGCCACCACGGTGGTGCTGGGAACCAAACGCGGTCCTCTCTCTCTGAAAGAGGCTGCCGAGGCCATCTCTCCAGCTCCCCTACAAAGTTTTATTTTAATGAAATCATATAGAAAATATCAGAATGCATTTTTTTACAGCAAAGCCAATCATTACTCTATAGAATGCTTGCTATCCTCAAGGAGAGTGGATTTTCTTACTGAACATCACAATCATAAAAAATCAGAACACACTGATTTTCTGGCAAGTGATTCCAAAATCCTCATTGCTAGCCTGGATCTATCCCTGTGCCATTTCAGAGTTCCTTTCCAAAGAGTTTCTGCCTCCCACACCCAAGCAAACACAGACTCAAACTCATGATTCTCCGTTCCCCCAACACGCTCCTTTTCACACGCCGTCCAGCTTAGCTCTCCACACTCTGTCTCACCTGACTGAAAAACGTAGGTCTAGCCCTGCTCTATGTGGACTGCTCAGTCTCTCTGCTCTTCATCCCTTGCTCTCGCTGGCTTCCTGGACCTCCACCTGTGCCCAAGGATCACTCCTCTCTCTTCAAGACCGCTTCAAATGTCCTCTGCAAGCCAAACGAAGCAGCTCCCTCCTGGCCCTTAGGATACCTTGCCCATGCCTCCATGCAAGCCCTTCTGTCTTCCCCACAGCCATGAGTTAGTTCCCTTTCTCCTCACCTGGGGTCTTGCACACACTATCCTCAGCACTTCCCGTGGTACTCAGTGTGCAGCAAGCACTCAGTGTACAGTAAATTCTCGGTGTGTAGTAAATATTCAGCGTACAGCATGTTCTCCGTGAGTAGCAAGTACTTGCTGTATAGTAAGGATTCAGTGTACGGCAAGTACTCAGTGTACAGTAAGTACTCAGTGTATAGTATGTTTTCAGTGTACAGTAAGTACTCAGTGTACAGTAAGTACTCAGTGTACAGTAAGTACTCAGTGTACAGTATGTTTTCAGTGTACAGTAAGTACTCAGTGTACAGTAAGTACTCAGGGTTAGTATTTAGGCTTCTGTACCTGCCTGTCCTTGGGATTCAGACAGGATACGCCCTCAGCTTCTGCCACTAAGAGCACCACCTGTGCACACTCGCTATGTTCCCTTTTAAAAGGACCCTGCCCACCTCCCATCTCTCTCTCTCTCTTTCTTCCTCTCCCTCTCTGTCTGTCCCCCCCCCCCGCCCCAGTCTCTCTTTCCTCTCTGCTGCTGCTCCTGACTCTGGGGGCTGCATTCCCTACTTCCCTTTCCCTTTTTATGATCATTTTCCTTAATAAAAATCCCTCCACTTGAACTATGTTGCGTGATGCCTTTCTCTCTCAAGCCACTATTTTTTTTTAATTACAACACTCCGCGTGTAGTATGTTCTCAGTGTATAGTGTTAGTATGTAGGAAACACGGCGTATACAAGTGAGAGCAGGCATGGGAAGCGAACACATCACAGCTTTGTTCCTTCCTTGTCATTTCCTCCCAAGCCATGGTGTGTCCCTCTGCTCCACGGAGATAGCTCGCACTAGACCATCACGCCGCTCCCTTTGTCCCCCACCAAGGTGCGGCCCCAGACTTTTAGTGGCTCATGATGGGCCTTGTCAAATTTTCCATGGCACATCCCAGAGAAAGACTGAGGATTTGAAATAAATAAGTACAGCACACCAACACACGCCAGCCACTTCCTTCTGCAGTGGCCTCACATCCCTAGGCGAGCTTGCCATCCTTGCGCCTCTGATGCGGTCTCCAGGCCTCCCTCAGGGTGTGTCCTCACTTTTGAGTGGCTGCGATCATTCCCCCAGCATCCCTCCTTCTCCAAGACTTCCTGTACAACGCCCAGGTAACCCTCTTTTCCAGCCACTTTTATCAATTTATTTCCCTACTCAAGGAACACATGGGGCTCCCCATGACATAACGAACCAAGCTGAAGCCACCAGCCACTGCTGCTGACACATCCCAATAAATCTTCCAATGACCACACCTAAGTGTGGTATATACTCATGCAAGCATACACACACACACGCACACACACACACACACACACGCACACACACACACACACACACACATGCACGCACACACGCACACACACACGCACCCCTACTCCTATCTTCAACCATGTGTTCATTATTCACACTTATTAATGACTTCTTATTACCAAACACATATGTGACACATGCAGCCTAAATGGAACTGTAACCCCTACTTCACAGCTTCTGGCTCAGGGCCATTATCAACATCAGCACCTCCTACATTTGGGACTGAAACACCTTGGTTGTGGCAGGCAATTTGGGTCTTGAGGAGTTTTCAGACATCTCGCTTGGCTACATCCTCAAGGATAGCAGCATCTCCTCTCCCCATGTGACAACCAAAGACATGGCCACTCTAATGTCTAAGGGCAAAACGGACCTGATGGATACCTACTGGCCTACAGCATCATAGAGCTTGCTGTTAGTCCCTTAGGGGGCCTCCTAGAGAGGAGGGTTCCAGATGACAATTCAGTAGGGAGTCAGGCCAAGAGCCTAGGAGTCTCCACTCAGGGCCCTGTCAGGGAACGCCAGCGCAGGCCTTTGCTGTTGTCTGGTAGACACAAACAACACTCCCCTGGAACTAACACATCGCAACTAGGATGTGTGATGAAATAGGACACACAAGCAAATGAGTCAGTCACAAGACACAGGACCAGAAATGGAGCCGGCTATGGCGATGCAGGTGAGATCAGGTGAGGGAGGGAAGACAGTGCCTGTATCCTGCGCCGGGTTGCTGCTTCCCCTCGTTATAGACAGATATGTGCCCTCCCCTCTGCGGACCTTGCCTGCTTTCAAGGCCCATGGGAGCTCCACCTCCCCTGAGTCTTGGCCAGCCCACCAGATGCTCTCCTCAGCCATTTACTTCTTATCTCAGCTGTGAGCATTTGTTTCCCCAGATAGACTTTAATCTCACTGCGCACCTGAACCACACCATCGCCTTCTTTACAGCAACCCTTCCTTGGCTTCCTTCTAAGATGGAACACATACCAGTCCTGACCAAAGTTTGGTTGCACTAAGCAGAATTCTTGGAGTGAGCCATCAGTGTCTCTGAGAGACGAAGAATGGGAAGAAACCTATACACCTGCTGAGCTCTGGGCAACGAGTCTATCCATCCAAACTCAGGCAGGGTTTGCCAGAACAATCAGGCAATGAATGGTGTGGTTGGTATGTACTCTGACCCTGGCTGGTATCTCTCTCAGGTCCCACCCGAAGTTCTACGAGCACCAGCAATTCTGGATAGTTACCAGCAGGGAGCAGAAACCAGGAGCTGTCTCACTGAGAAGCGGGTGCCCAGATCCAGCAAAGCTGCCCAGAAGACAGTTCAGGGACCGTTTTAGTGGGCCCAATCAAGTCTAGCAAGTGAGGAGGCTAGAACGTGTTTTTTAAGGACATTGGTGCCACACAGAGCAAATGAGCTCATGTCAACTAGGAAGGATGTTGTCTGGGGAAGTCTGGAGCAGTGGGTGGCTGGAAATGAATGTATGAGGCAAGGGGTCATATATCCCCTGGTTCTGGAGAGTCACAAGGAAGGACAGTCAGACTGCTTAGCTCTCCCACGAGGAACAGATCGCCAGCAGCAACCCCCACCCTCCCACTCCTTGGGCAGCCCAGACTAGGAGCATATGTGACCAATGCAAACTCCAGGACTGGGAAGAGAACAGCATTTAGTTATTGGGGCACTTCTGAGATGTGTGTGTGTGTGCGCGCGCGCGCACGCGCGTGCGTGTGTGCACATGCACGCACATGCATTTTCATTCCTATCCATTTGAGTGGACGATGGTAGTGGGTTAGATAGGCGCTGGTGGTGAAGAAGGAGCCTCCAACAGAGAGGAGAGGGGCGCTTTCCTCTAGAGAGTCTAGCCTGGGGGCATCCAGGGGAGAGCTCCCACCTCCAGCCCGGCAGGTAGGCAGCAGCAGCTCTGGCTCCACCAAGCAGCAGAGCCTGGCATGTCCGTGCATCTTCTGCACACAGGAACTGAGGCTGTGCCTGAATATGGAGCGGCATCTGCTGCCTCCTCTCTTCAAGGAGTTTGACTGCGGATGGGGAAGGGTTGAGAGGGCCCAGCCTCAGCCATCTCTGGTGCTAAGGATGCGAAAGAACCATCTGCTTTGGAGGTCATCAGCTTGTCTTACAGATCTAGAATTCACAGCCAGATACCAACCATTATCACCCCTCCTAATCCGGGTTTCCTGGAGAAGGAAAAAAATGCCTTTTACATCCAAGGTCCCCTACAAAAAATGTATGACTTGCCAAACTAAGAAGGAAAAAAAAAAGAAGCCTTTGACCTTCCGGTGGCAGCCAAATGACCGTGTAGGTTTGGGTAACAGCGCAGCTCTGAGCATGCACAAGCAATTATGGTCAGTTTAGCTGCTTGGCATTCCAAGGTGCTGCCCACGTTCACAAAACAATAAAGTTCACACACACACACACACACACACACACACACACACACACACACACACACACACTCACAACCCCACCACGACAGGCACACAGCTAGAGCTGTCCTCTGGCTGGCAGCAGAGATGCCATAAGGCACGCCACAGAGGTGTTCCAGCCAAGGGCAGACCTCCTGGCACCTGCCCAGGGAACGCTGCCGCTGGCCTACGGGCCACTTCCAGACTGGGTGTACTCCGCCCCTCAGACTGACTCTCTTACCTCTTGATGTAGCTCCTGCTGTACAGGATCTGCTGCAGCAAGGTCACCAAGGCGAAGGCGCAGATGAAAATGAACAGCAAAGTTCGGTTCCCCAACAAATCCCGGTTGGCTGAGGGGTCTGCATAGCGCATCCTGGCGGCCCGGCGCCGCGGATGCACCGTGCGGGACGGCGTGGCAATCACGCGCGCTGTGCGGGGCCCCGGGGGGCGTTGGGTGAACTGTCACGGTGCGGCCAGGAGGGCAGACGACTTCGCGGGGCAAAGTTTCCCGCGGGCGCAGCCGGGGCCGCGGTGGCGAAAGGACAGGGCCAGCAGCCACGAGGAGACCCGCCGAGCCCCAGGCCTGCCCTCGCGTGCTGCTGTCTCCGGGCGCTGCTGTCCCGCTGCCGCCGATCTGCCGGCGGAGGGGCGACGGCAGGTGCGCGAGCCGGGCCACCCCCCGCCGAGGTGACGACCAATGAGGAGCAGGGCCGGCCAGGCTGGGCTGAGACTCAGCGCGGTGCACCGCCCCCTCCGCGCTGGCTCGGGATCGGGGGCGCCTGGCGCTTGGGGACCGCCCGGGGACAGCGCGTCTGATCTCCGAGTCCGCAGCCAGGGAGTGTGAAGGTTGCGCAGCGGAGGCGAGCTGGGCGGCGCAACCTAAGGATGCGGGGCTGTAGGGAGGGGGAAGGGAGCGGCGGAAAGGGCCGGGTTGGAATCGTGGGGTTTGGAGGAGCGCGGGGACAAGTGCCAGCCTCGTAGGAGACGAGCGAGCGTTTGCGTGAGGCTCGCAGGGCACTGAGTCACCGAGGCGGCCGCGTCCTCGTGCGCTGCTGGAGAATCCCCGGTGAAAGCGGTGCAAGGTCAGCCGGGTAGTCCTTCAAGGACGGCGCGCGCGGCCCCTGCATGCTAATGGCCTGAGGGGCTGTCCCTGGGGCCTTGACTCACACACGGCCTCTGCTGAGCAGAAAGTCGGGGTCTACCCGCCCCTCTGCCGCGAGCCTCTACCCTCTCACCATCTGCAGTTCGCCCGGCCTTTCGTCAATAACCCTGTTGTCACCCAGACACTGGGACTTTGTCTCATCCTTGGAACTATTCATAGACTGTAGGTCAGCAGCCGGTCACCTTCGGGTACTATGGTTCCCCAAAGCTTTAAGAAGTCACTATGTCCAGCAGCGAGCACTCGGCGCTTCAGTGTAAGCTGGGGGAAATGATCCCAGAGATGCAAGGCGGTGGTATCACAGAAGTCTTTACCCCCAAGAATGCCACCCCTTCCATCCCAACACCGCATAGTCTTGGGAGTCAGTCACGTGCCACGAGCATCCACTACTCAACTCTACGTGCTAAGGCGCCCTTCTCAGGACCTTCCAGACACTCCCGAGGTTCCAGAGTCAGATCTGCTTTGCACTCAAAAATTGATCAAAACTCAAATCGCAGGCCCCCCCCCCAAAAAAAAGAAGAAGAATTTTGGGGAGAAATGCCCAGGCTCCAAACCCTTCAGCATTTGCATTTAGCAATTCCCTTTTTGACCAAGAAAGACCAAGGGCTACTAAGCTTCTATGATTAGGGAGCCAGCAATAATTGCAATTTGTGTTCATTCACAGGGCTGGAATACTATTTATTATCTGTAGTAGGCTTTTTTGGCCAATTAGTGGAGTGATCTAGAGATCGGGCGGGCTCATCATTGTCTGGCTAGCATTGAATCCTTGCTCTCACATATGTTAATGCATTTCCACCTCCTGTCGTCTATGGAGCCTGCAGTAGAATGGGCCAATGTGCAAGTTATCTGGGGCAGGGGAGGCCCCAGCAAGAAGTCCTTGAACCTCAGATTTCCTGTTCATGCTGGGAACGGGGAGCCTGTCAGTGAGTGTACCCCAACAACAACACTGACTTAGTGCTGCTGTCCTCCTTTTCCCACAGGATTGTGTTCTGTAGCCCAGGCTGACATGCAGCTTGTGATCCTTTTTTTCAGTGTTGGGGTTAAGACGTGGGCCACCATTCCATGCTCAGCCGTCTTCAGACGTTTCGGCACTTTCCACTGGAGCCTCCACATGCTGTGTAGTGGGCCTCACAGCCACGCTCCAAGCTGACAGAGTGGGGATTTTCAGGCCCTTAGTAGTAACTGTCAACCTAGTTACCTTGTGGCTTCCTCCTGTGAGAGAGGACAGACACAGAATGAGTCTCTTACTGACAATACAAGCTTCATGACGATTCAGCCTCGGAGGGGGGGGTCTCTGGTCCAGAAGTCAGAGTCTACTGTCTGCCTCTAAACTGGGGTAGAGAGCAGAATTCGGAAGGGAAAGGAGTAAAAAGTTAACATTTTCGGCTTATGGCTAGCCCCCTGTATGCATAACCATGGAACTGGGCATCACAGAATGTCAGGGGACAGATAAGCATCTCTCCCAGCACATTCTAGGATCAATAGGGCAGGATGGACAGACTTTGGGAGAATCGGGTTACTTTAGTTCTGGGAAACAGATTTAGTTTTCAGATCTGTCGCTGTTCAGCCATATGGAGGAGTTATACAAAATGGGGTGGCCAGCCCCTCCCTCTGGCCTTGGTACCTTGTTTCCTTTCTCATCCTCCCTCCCATTCTGACAATTTCCTTCGGATGCAGCCTTCCCTGGAGAAACAAAACAAACCCATTCTACAGTAATGAATACAAATTATCCCAAGTATAATAAATACATTTACCAAAACATCCATGGACCATCCACGTATAGCTCACTGCATTTTCAAAAGCTGAGCATGGTGATGTGACCAGAGTACAAACCAGAGCGGTCCTCCATACCCACCGAGGATCTCCTCATGCTCCATATGGCTACTGCACACTCAAGAGTTCTGAGGGTCAAACTCTAGGCATCAGGCTCACACGGCCAGGGCTTTCACCCTCGGAGCCACCTCAAACAGTCGGCTCTGACTTCTAACATCAAATTAATGTATTTCCGGTTCACCCATTTTGGTAAATGGAATACAATTTGTGTCTGGCTTCTCTGGCTTACTGGCAGCTGTGAGATCATCCATGTCATTGTATATGGGTGTATGTTTGTGTGTGTTTGTGTGTGTGTGTGTATGTGTGTGTGTGTGTGTGTATGTGTGTATACGTACACCCCTGTCATTCAGCTGAATGTTAACATAGGTGCTGCTGGGAAGAGGGTTTTTATATGTGTTCAGTCTGGAAGGCAGCTGGTTTGAGAACAGTAAGTTGTTGCTCTCTATGGTCCTGATCACATGAGTCCTTGAAGCAGCCTGGGCTCTTCTATGGAGGTAATTTGAATTCATTCGAGAGATTGATTTGAGAGAGCACTCACTGATGGCTTTGAAGATAGAGGCGACCTCTTGGCAAAGTACTCAGATGCCCTCTTGGAGCAGAGACTGGCTTCTGGCCAATAGCCAACAACCATATGCCAAAAAAAAAAAAAAAAAAAAAAAAAAAAAGACTGAATTCTTCTTACAACCTGAAGAGGCTTTGGAAGAGGATCCTGGGCTCCAGCAGCCCTGACCTTGACTTCGGTTTGAGATGGATCAAAAAGAGACCCTGTAGCTACACAACTTGAAACTTATCTGTGTGCTCCTGGAAATACTACACGTATTTCCAGCAGAACAAAACCCGTATCTCTCTGCTGTGTAGCACGGTGGCATACCTGTCCATCCTTCTTTTTGATGTGTGCTTTTAGGGCCTCAGATTGAACCCTGTGACTGGTGCATGCTGGGTAAGCATTATACGTCCATACTACGTCTTGGCCGGTACTACCACTTCTACTGTTGACGGACATCTGGCAGCTGCTGCCATGAAGTCTGCAAAGGCTGCTCTTTGGTGGATGGATGCAAGTTTATCCCTTGGAAGAGAAACTTCCAGCCAGGCAGTGTATGTGTGTTCGTCTTTAGTGACTACTGCCAAATGGTTTTCCAAAAGGACACAATGTTTTTAAATAGATATTTATTTTGTCTTGCCATCACCAAATGAGGTGACATGAGCATTAGCCTTCTCGCCTAACAGGGAGGAAAAAAAGAGTGCCAAAATTACTGAGGGATGATAGCAGCCCTGGTTACTTGCATGGATTTGCGGGGAATAAGCTTGTTGAAGGTGCTGGGTATGGCTGGGGTTTAGTGGCAGCGCCTGTGGGGTAGATCTCCATCACTTGATACTCTGCAAATGGCCAGCAGTAACCTAGTCCAACTTTTTTGAGGCTGCTCATCCAGTCCAATGGCATTTGAAATCCATTTTCTTCAGATCAAACCAAAGAGTTCTGTTTAACCCACCCACAGATGTCCTGCAAGTCTAGTGGAATCAGAGACTTAAGGTCGTGAAATGGCCACGTTTGAATGAAGTCTTTGATGCTACTAGCCGTGTGGAGCCAGGCTCTACCTTAGGCCAAATTTATACTCTGTAGAATTGCAGCAAGCACTCAGAAGGACTTACAAACAAAAGACGAAACACGTGGCCAAGTGATCACAATGCCAGATTCAGTGAACACCATTTTTATATTGTAATGGCCAGGAATGGGGACAGCTGCATCATTGTTCAAAACACACACTCACACACAAGCAAGCCAAGAACAAATGTCAACACTGGCACAATCTGCTAAATTACTGATAACTGATGGGCATTACTCATGCTGCGAGCATTGTCTCCAATATAAAATAGAACAGCTCAAAAAGAGGAAGGAACTTAGCAGTTTCTGTGTGCTTTTAACTCGAGCAGCCCAACTGCAGCCTGTGATTATGTAAGTGACATTCCTCGCACGTGTTCAAGGAGTGTGTGATAGGGTGTGCCGTGCGTGTGTCTCTTTACATTTGCACTAACATGTCTGGCCTTTGAGGGACTGCTCTTGGCTTTGGGGCAATGTTTGCAATGGAAGCATCTGTTGCCATGTGAGCAAATTGCCCTGGTTACAGACAGCCTCATCATCTACTGAGCTGGGCTAACCACCGCAGAGTTCACTGCAGGTGCTAGCTAGCTTTTACAACCTCCATCTTGGTTATTGGTTTTGTTTTGTTTTGTTTTTAACCACTTAGTGTTGTGTACGGGAGCTATAATTTGTACTGGAGCTATAATTTCTACCCCTGGTTCATTTCCATTATGAAGCATGGGTTGTGTTCCAGGTCACGTATAAGTCGTCTGTAATCCTGAACCTTCTCACCATGGCATCTGCAACTCCAGAAGCTCTGCCTTCTCAACCCCCAAGCAGATAACCACTGTATCAGAGAGCAGAAGTGTTCTGGCCCGCCTCCAGTTTGCCATGTTCCCATAGCTAGCCAGACATAGCCCATTCGGGTCCCACTTAGATGATATGGTAGCCTAATGAATGACAAACCTCTTTCTCTCATCCCAGGCTGGGTCCTGGGGAAGAAACATGGACTCCAGTTCTCCTCTTTTG